TGCTGACTGCTGACGCTCCATCGCCTCGCCGGCCCGCCCCGTCCTCCGCAGAGGACTGCGCGTGCTGCCCTGGGCGACCGCCGCTCGACGACGGCATCGACCAGACGGCGAGCTGCGCGCTGTGCCGCTTGTCGTGGCACTCGAGCTGTTGCGCCCGGGCCGCCGAGCAGGCGGCGGAGCGCGCGCGGGCGTCCGTCCTCGCTCGCGGCCCCGGCAGGGCCCAGCATGCTCGGGCAATGTTTGCCCGGGTTTGTTTCAACAAGGCCCCCGAGGCCTCTGCGCTGAGGGCCATATGCCCCCTCTGCGCCCTTCTGTTTCAGGAGGTGGATGCGCCCCATGAGGCGCCTCCGCCGGCCGAGGCAATCCAGCCCATCAGAGGACTTGGGTCGCCTGGGCCTGAAGCAACACCTCTCCTGGTCCCCTCTTACCGTCCTTATACGTGGCCCCTGGGCTCCTGCCTCACCTACAACTCTGGGGTCGCCCCGAGGTCCCTGAGGTCTCTCTGAGGTGGGCTTCTCCCTGGGGTCCCTGGACTCTTTCTTCACCTGCTCTCAGGACTGGGCTCCTCCGTGGATGCGTCTCTCACGTCCTCGACCAACTCACCCGTCTCCTCCTCCTTCGCCTTCCCCTCACCTCCCTCCTCCACCTCCTCGCCATCATCCCAGCTGGTTCGGCGAGACAGGAGGCCTGAGGTGGCCCAGAGTCTGAGCGGCGAAGCGAGGCGTCGCAGCAGGTGTAGTAGGAGGAGGAACACGAGGACGAGGACCACACAATGGGAGAGGATGGGGGAACGATGCTGACGTTTGATGCTGCTAGGCGTGCCCCATGGGATACCCCAGCCACGACCGCGCTGGCAACTCGTCACCCTAATCGACCCACGCATGGCAACCACGTCCCCCAAAGTATCCTCCTTTTGGCAACTGGCCGCCTTCCCACCCGTGGCAACTGGCCCCCCTCGACAACTCCAGTTTTGGCAACTGGTTCCCAAAACCATGCCTTTTTGGCAACTGGTTTCCAAAATCAAGCATTTTTGGCAACTGGTTTCCAAAACCAGTCATTTTTGGCAACTAGTTCCCAAAACCACCCCATTTTTGGCAACTGGTTCCCAAAACCACCCCAATTTTGGCAACTGGTTCCCAAAAACAACCCTTGGTTGGGCACCACGCGCCCACGCCCATTTTTGGCAACTGGTTCCCCAACCCCCCCCATTTTTGGCAACTGGTTCCCAAAACCGCTCGGTTTTGGGAACTGGTTTCCAAAAGCCACCCCTTTTTGGCAACTGGTTCCCAAAACGCCCCATTTTTAGCAACTGGTTCCCAAAACCACCCAAAATTGGCAATGAGTCTCCAAAAAGGGTGTCAAGTTGTGAGAGGATGTACCAGGCGAAGCAAGCGGGTGCAACGTGTCCATACCATCCTGTCCCGCTCCAAGCACTGCGTTCTCTCCGCCACCCTCCGCCCAACCGGTGCTCTCGACCGCAGCCTTTGAGCTTGGTGACTGGATTTGTACGTCCTGTTGACAGTGTTTACTGCAGGTAAGTTTGTGGTGCAATGGCATCGTCAGCCGCAGTGGCAGGCGCGGGGACGGTGCGAATCTTGAAGATCCAGAGTCCGTTCCTAGAGCGTTTCGACCCTGATGGGCCTGCCAAGTGCTATGAGGTTCGGAAGAGTGACAGCGCTATCCTCGGGGAACTGTACTTGGCCTCATGCGGTGGCAAGCTCTCGGAGCCCGTGAACATCGCATGGAAAGCCAACCTCGTGGCGGTCGTTCAGAAGGACCGCCGCAGCCTGACGCCTGAGGACTTTCAGAAGATGCAGTTGTCTCAATCGGAGCTCGACGCGTACCTGGGGCCACTTCAGAACTTCTACTGTTGGGAGATGGCAGACGTCCAACCGATGTGGGGCAGCGTGCCTAATTGCAGAGGATGGCAGCAGTTCAAAAAGTACAGCAGCAACTTGCTGACCATCAACCCTGGCCGCCTCATCGGGCCGCCAGCCAGCCAGGCACACGCGGCTGGTGGCCTTCCTGGCGTTCTGCCTGGTCAGTCGCGCCTGGACTACTTCCTCAGTGCTGCTGCGGGCCATCTACCTGCGCATGAGTCAGCCCTGGCGCTCGAGGATGCCGCGGCCAGCTCCGCGGCCGCGCCGTCGCGGCCGCGCTCCAGGACGCCGGCGCGTCGCCTCAGGCTGGCTGAGACGACTTCGGCGTCCCCGACGAGTTCAGCCTCGGCCGCGACGCCGCCTCAGCAGTTGCCTGCGCCAGCGTTGGCAACCACGCCAGCTCCGGTGTCACCGCCACCAACGCCGATTCTCACGCCATCAGGGGAGATCATCCGCGAGGGCCTCAAGCACATTCACCAGTGGCCGAAGAGGGACCTCAATCTGCTCACGCAGCTCAGGGGCACAGGCGCCACCAGGCTCTTCCTCAAGAACTGGCTCGTCAGTAATTACTCGACCGCATGCTCAGGGATAGACGCCCCTGGCAGCGCCCTCGCGATGATCCGTGCACAGTTGTCGGAGGAGCTCGGCTTCGCTGTGCCAGAGGTCGAGCACATCCACGCCGCAGAGTGCGATGAGGAATGCCAGAAGGAGTTGATGATCCACCCCAATGCTCCGAAGTGCATCTTCACCGACTTGAACGACGCTTGGGAACCTAGCGTGGCTCAGAGGATATGCTCCTTGCTGTCGGCAGGCTTCGGCATCCCCTACGCCCAGCTCAAGCCGCTCATCATGTCCAAGAAGGCAGTCCGCAAGTTCATGCATTGCAAAGTCCACAACAAGCGGTGCGAGATGAAGCCGAGCAAGGTCCACATTGCGGGCCTGCCCTGTGTGGATTGGACGCCGAATGGTTTGGGCAAGAAGGAGAACGGTCCAACCGCCGTTCTTATGGCTGCGTGGGTAGCTCTCCGTCTCATCCTGCAGGAGCCTTTCATCATCAACGAGAATGCGAAGACGTTTGACCGAAACATCCTGGACAGTATCTTCAGCACATATTACGTGGTGGAATCCATGGTGGTTGACGCCGCGGAGAGAGGGTTGCCGCAATCGAGGGAAAGGAGGTGGACCGTGATGGTTCACAGGTCCCTGGTGCTTCAGAGGGCTTCTTCGCTCGACAACGTGGTGAGGCTGTTCGCCATGCCGGAGGCTTGCTCGTGGCAGGTTTTCCTCGTGGCGTCCGACGACGAGAAGCTCCACGAGCTCAAGTGGGCGGCCAGAGAGACGAATCCAAAGCGTGCGAGCTCCAGGTGGCCCACTGGGGTCAAAGTAGGCCTCGACGTCGATGATGCGTTCGTGCAGTCTCTCTCGCAGTGGGAGCTCGACAACTGGAAGGAGTACCAGCACAACAGCGGCATGACGGGGCACCTGCTGGCCTTCCTCCTGCACCAGAACCCCAACAAGCACTCTCACAAGAGCAATCCGAACACGCTGTGTACCCTCATCAAGAACTCTGGCCTTCTCATGTCCACGCCCCACCGGAGATGGTTCACCGCGAGCGAGTGCTTGAACGCGCAGGGCTTCCCGACCGACGACGTCTTGAGGATCATCGATGATGGTATCATGGTGCGTGGGCGCCAGTACTGCTCCTTCAACCGCGCTCGCTTGGCCAGGCAGAGTCATCGCGTGAAGGAGCAGGCTGGCAATTCGATGCCGCTGTCTGTCATTGGGCTGATGTTTACATGCGTTTTTGGGTATCACACCCACTTGGGCGCTTGAACGGTTAGGCAGTGCTTGGACTCAGCCGCTCCAGCGAGCAGCGACGAGTCGCACGGGCATTTCAATGTCTCGATTCTGGGATCCAGGAGTCCAAGGGCGAGGCTGTCCCTGGGCAGTTCACCGGATCAGCCAGCAGCAGCGTATCTTTTCAAGCTCAGGCCTCTCTCGGGCATTTGGGGGTGTCCGTCTGTCCGTCTGACTTGGCGATCTGCGCGGGGAAGGTTGAAGGTATTGAGGAGAAGTGGAGGATGGGAGGATGGGGTCACTGGTCACATATTGAGGGTTTCAACTCGTTCGCTTTGGATCTGAGGCTAATCGAAAACACTGCTGCTAAGGTCCTTGCCAAGTTTTCAAGATGATTTTGGACCTGCGTGCAAGACGCGGGATTTGCTGCGCAAGAAGCTGCTCCCGAGGGAGCTAAGTTTTCCAATGGCCGTCCAGCGTATGTTCCAGTCCAGTGCCAGACCCATTGATATGCCGAGGCTGTCGCCGATTGGCACACGCGACTTCGCTGTTCGCCAGGCCAGACATTACAGAGGGATGAGATGTGCAATGCGTCAGGTCATTGTACGAGCGTGCGATCACCACACATGCTCCTCCTGGTCCTGCTGCTCCTCCTCCTCCTTCCTATCCCCCTCCCTCCAGGCTAATCTTGGGAGCGTCTCGGAGGCCGAGCCCTTCAAGATCTCTGGGGCCTCGGGGGCCCTCAGGGGACTTCTTGGAGCTCCATGGGGCCCTGGGATCTCGGGCTGGGCTACTTGGATAAAGTTCGTGTCGAAGGCCCCGTAGCTTGAACTCGATAGAGGATCACGGGAGTTAGAAATTGGACGAGAAGGGCAATATGAGGACCCTAAGGACTTAAGGACCCTAAGGAAAGGAAAGGATCCTAAGGACCCTAAAGAAGGCACGGAGAGGACCCTGATGACCCTAAGAAAAGAAACGGGCCCTCCTAAAGAAGGTACGGGAAGAACCATAAGGAACCTAAACACCCGGAGAAAAAAAAAGAAAATCGTAAGGACCCCATGGAAAATACGGAACGGACCCTAAGGACCCTAAGGAAGGTACGGAAAGGACCCTAAAGGCCCTAAGGACCATAAGGAAAGTGAATGATTCTAAGGACCCTAAGGAAGGTTCGGACATGACCCTAAGGCTCTAAGGAGCCGAAGGACCCCAAGGACCGACCTTAGCCATTTTGGCTCCAGCATCGTGCGTTCAGCTCAGCATAGCCTTTCGTCCTGACTCTCACCTGCAACGTGCTTCGAACCAGTTTCAGCAGAGACCGCAGGCATGACGGGACAATCAAAAGTGCCAAAGAAACATCTGAGTGACCCTCAGTCGCCGTCATCTGCCAAGCGGCAGCGCATCTCTGGCAAGCGCTCCGATGAGGAGAAGCATTACGATGCTCTCTACGGGCCTCGTGATAACATTCGGTTGCGTTTCCCTGGGCTCTCTGGATTGCGGCTCTTGAACAAGGTGAACCTTTGGTATCGCGTGAGGAAAGACACAGTGTTACCGTTCTTCCACACAGTGGACAAGTCAAAACAGTTGGTTATGTTCGAGGACAATTATCGTGATCAAGAAGCTGTAGAAGAAGATTATACATTGAAAGTGCTCAGCTTGGGAAGCGTTCCAGGAGTTCGTGGAGAACCGTGGGCGATCCTGAGTCCAGATGGAGATGCAGAACCAGATGGCACCTTACCTTATCGCATGCTCACCTTCGGCACGCTCACGCGTGCAATCTACAGCGCAATAGAGAGGGAGCCGGAGAACGAGCAGGTGATTGCCACTGTACAACAGGGTTTGCGTACGGCGCAAGTCTACAGCGCCCGCACCCCCAAGGACGTGTGCGAGTTCCTGATAAATTTCCACAACGAGTTCCACAAGGGCAGCGGCTACACCTTGATCCAGTATTACAGCCTCACGGACACGAGCGTGGCGCAATGGAAAGCGCACGCGCACTCCAAGGGACTGGACGCATCGAACCAGTCGGACAGGCAGAAGTGGTTGCAGGAGAACTACCCGGACAAATTCCCGAGCCCCAACGTCTTCAACGAGGCGAAAGCCGGCCTCAACGCTATCGGGCGCCTCAAGATGAGACAAGCGTTCATGGCGCTGTTCGGATCGGTCTGTGACTTTCCTCAGATGAAGAACGAGTTCGGCGTGATGGCAGTGCACAAGATTGCTGTTATCCTGGAGACCAAGTACAAGGGCACGATGGACGAGTCCACGCTGAGGACTGTCGGGGCGGAGATGGTGAAGTTCATGATCCCGACGGTGACGCGCCCGAACTTCGACAGCAAAGACGACTCCGCCAACAAGGTGGTTTCCAAGAATAAGGCATTTCTCCACACGTTCGTCAGCTCTCGGGAGGTGCCCTGGATCCTCAACACTCGCGAGCTCGTGGAGGAGGGACCAGGGATCGAATGTTTCATAGGCTCAGTCTGCCGACCTGCCGACCCATTCAAGAGGGCGGAACTCAGGAGGACGAGTGGGAAGTGAGGAGGGGGGTAGGGGGAAGGCGGGATGGAGGGGCCCTGATGGATGGGCCCTGAGGCTCCTGAGGGACCCCGAGGAGCCCGAGGAGGGACACTGTCGCGTTTAGCAATGTGGGGGACCCCGGGACCCCAGGAGAAGCTCAAATTTTTGACTACGAAGATGGAGGGCTCCACCACCCAGAGAAAGCTGGAGAACAACCTCAAGAAAACGCCGAAGAAGCTCAAGGCCAACAGCACCATTACCACTGAGGCCGTTGCCAACCTCCTGCTCCTCAATCTCTTCAGACCTCCTCCTATCACCTCTCACCTCCCACACGTCCTCCAGGCTTCTTCTCCTCCTCAGCCTCCGAGGTCCTCTCCTCGTCCTCGGCTCCTCCTCCTCCGAGGTCCTTTCCTCCTCCTTGGCTCTCCCTCCTCTTCCTCCTCCTCCTCCTCCTCCGAGGCCCTCTCCTCGTCGTCGGCTTCTCCTCCTCCGAGGTCCTCTCCTCCTCCTTGGCTCTTCCTCCTCATCCGAGGCCCTCTTGTTTCGTGTCTCGGCTGTGTCGCCCGTCCTTCGGTTCGGCCAGCCCAGGCCAAGGAGCCCGCTGAACTGAACATCAAGATGGGGCCCGCCGACGCGGGGAGCAAAACCAAGTGCAAGATTCGGGAGAAGACCTGGCTGGACGATGTCATCGCCTGCTTGAGCTGGGTCCGCTCGCAGCTTCCAGCGGAGCCGCCAGAGACAGATTGGACGCAGTGCAAAGGATTTGCGATCTCGATGGCCCTCGAGTTCTGCTTCTGCGGCAAGCTGACGATCGGAAGTGAGACTTTCTGCCAGTGGTCCCTGCTGCGGCCAAAGCTGCAGGACAGCGTCAAGCAGATCATGTCTACGAAGTGCTCGTCATCATCTTCAGATGCTGCATCGCATATTCAGGATAGCCTCATGGACGCCCTGACCGACACGCCGCCGCCCTCTGACACTTCGCCTTCCCCGTGCAAGAGCCCAGGTGACGACAGGACGGATACCAAGGAGTCGCGTGTCAAACACTTCGTGAACGATGAGGGCCGGCTGCAAACGATCCGTGCGTTTGTTGATGGTGAGGTACACGTGGACAAGCCGCTCCGAACGCAGGCGCCCCTGTTTCAACTTCGGAGCTCGGTCCTGAATGAGCTGATGACGCTGAAGAGTTCAGAGGAGTTTGCCGAGTTCGCCACAAAATTCGCCACTGCTGTGACTGCGAAGCTCGAGGAGGTTTTCCCTGACGACTGGTGGCTGTGCATGGCCGCTCTCGTGGACTGCGTAGATTCTGGTAAGCTCCCAGAGTGGATCAATAACGTGATGAATCCGGCCAGCATTTCACATTACCTGATGCTTCGGGAGAACTACATCGTGGAGACCCTCAAGGACATGATCACTGATGACGACATCTCCATTCCAGATGGGCACAAGTCGGCTCTGTCCAAGCTGGTCAAGGCTATCAAGCGCCCAGATCCATCCAAGAGCGGCGTGCAAGACGTCTTCAGCACCATGAGCAGGACCTCAGCGCGCATGCAGGTCACGGGAGGGATGCACAGCCACCTCTTGGTTTCCGTGCTGCGCGCTGGCCTCTCCGAGGACAGCGCGCCCGACGAGCTGGGCAACTTCAAGGCGCAGATGCTGAAGGATCTCGGCGTGACCGCGACCACTGGCGAGGAGCGATGATGGGAAGCAAATCGGATGCTGGACATTGGGGCTGGCGTTCAGAGCAGGCGGGATTATTTTCCTAGTCCTGCCGTCTTTGAGCGCCAGACGCCAAGTCTGGTCTGTTTTGCGGCCCGTTCAGGACCTTGCGAACGCAGATGGCGCGCAAGGCACTGGCGCTGGGCAGGAGGTCCACGTGAACCCCTGGGTCGTCATGGCCGACGTCGTGTCATTCAACGACTACGAGAAGCTCGACCTGATCAGTAAGAAGCCGAACTCTTGGACGCCGCTCGCAGACCCAGACCCCGTCGCACTCTTCATTGAGACCTTGCCCAGCTACACCGTGAACCTGCGCGACGAGAAGACGAGGAACCTGTTCAACGTGGACTGGGTCTTCCGGCTCATGAGCTTCATCGAGTTCAAGCTCGAGGAGGAGCGCGCCGACATCAAGGAGCAGTCGGCCAACATCGTCATCAATACGTCCGAGAGGAAGGTTGTGCCCGCCGACTCTAGCACCACGCCGGACGCAGCCAAGGCGAAGGCGAAAGCCAAAGCCAAGGCTTCGGCTAGGCCCGCCGACGCCGCCGACGCTGCATCCAACATGGCCTGCACCTTGGAGAAACACCGCTTCCAGGACTGCAAGCTTCCGTTCTCAGGCAAGATCACCTGCCGCAGGACTCCTTTATGCACGCAGATTGGGAAGCTTATCGTCACTACTGATGAGTTCGACGAGTCGATGTTGGCGAACTGCGAAGGCACGAAGATTGATGTCATGCCGAACGTCTTCACTTTCGTCGTGCCTATCTACATGAGCGGCCATGGAGGCAATAACATATTTGGCCAACGTATCGTTCCAGCCTGGTGCGTGAAGCCGAAAGACGACAACTACACCATGGACATCGTGCCGACGAAGGTGAAGCTGGATATTCCCGAGAGCCTCCGTCTCGGACCTACGGCGGCGAAGCATATCGATGTGTCCGTCAGTCTTCTTCGCGGTCTGCCCGAGAAGGATCTGCCCCAGGGGCAGCTCACGCCGCAGGGCATCCTGCTGACCCGTCCCAGCTTCGCCGACGAGGTTCTGAAGTCGGAGAAGAAGTCGAACGCCAAGGCCATCGAGAAGCTGACCGATGAATTCTTGAGCTTCATGGGGGTCGGGGCCGCAGCGGACCAGATGAACCGCAAGTCGAAGGCGAGTGCTGCGAAGGCAGCGCGCGGCTCCGGCGACGCCAGTGGCGATGAGGAGGATGAGGGCGAGAAAGTCGAGAGCTCCGCAGCAGCAAAGACTGCAGTCAAGCATCTCACGCGCTAGTGCGCACGTTTTTTCAGTTTTCGTTTATCGAGTTGAAATGTGTTTGGCATTTTGCCCACCTTGTCGGCCTGCCACTGGCCTGACACAGAAGGGTCCGAGGATCCAAAGGAAAGGGACGAGGAGGAGAAGGAGTCAAGGAGTCAAGGAGGAAAGAGGGCCCAAGAAGGTAAGGAGGATGTTTGAAGGACCCGTGCTCTTGCTCTCGGGCTCGAGAGGCCGAGGGATGGCGCGTTCTGCGCACATGCATGGCCGAGGCCAGACAATTTTGTTGGGTTTGCTGCTGCTGTGGTTTATGAGTTCGTTTCGTGGCCAGTCCTTTGACATGCTCGGGGAGCCTAATCTGGGGATTGTAGTGCTTCCTGGGCCGACGGGCTCCATCCCGGTCCATCCCGTCGTCAGCAGCAGCAGCTTGAGTACTCCGCCGAGGCAAGGGTGCTCGATCCATTTCTTTCTGTTTCGTGTCCGTGCCTCTCTGGGCGCACCGGCGTTGCACCAGGGCTTATGCAATGCATTCGCTTGTTTCACTGCCGCTGGTGCGAGTGCGCAGGGCCCATGTGGGGCCCATGACGTTTCAGCCCGCATGGGCGCGTTGATTGCGTTTACTGACTGATCCGTTTACTGGCATTTTGTTCTCGGGGCAATCTCGGGAATGATGAAAGAAAAAAGAAAAACAAGCACCTCCAGGTCTCCAGAGCCCTGCCGGGCAATGCCGCCAATTCCCATCCTCCCTCCCTCGCCTTCCCTCTCTCCTCGTCCTTCCTTCTCTCTTCCTCTCGGCTCTTCGCTCCTTCTCCTCCTCCTCATCTTTTCCTCTTTCTCCTCACTCTCCTCCCCTCCCCTTCCTCCCCCTCCTCAGCCCTCCTCATCCTTCGTGCGGGCACATCCACAGGGTCCCGTGCCTAGGAAGCTTGCTCCCACATGAGGCTCCATCCTTCGTGTTTCACGGATGTTCCTATCGATTGGCTTCGAATCCTTCCCAGCAGCGGTTCCGCTCGAGACTTCCTCGCAACTTAGCACCACAGAAGCGTCCCAGGGGCCGTTTCGCCTGAGACTTGGAGGGAGGGCCATAGAGGGGCCCTGAAGGCTCTGGAAGCTATTTTTGGAAACTCCTGGGGGGCTCCCGCCGCGCCGCTCGCAAGAAGCGGAATCACTTGAGCAATGGAAATGGACATACACAATCAATGGTACGCAGGGCGTGGTTGTGATCTCCGAGGTCGATGCCGAGGTGCCAGGTCTCATCGGTCCTGATGAGATGGCAGAGTGGGACGCAGCAATCAGCTTCAGGAGCGGTACTTTCACGGCGAACGGTGTGACCAAGCCGTTGGTCCCGGCTGCGTCCGGGCATCCGTGCGTGTCATTGCTGGATTTCCCGGCACCGGTCGCGAGTGCCTTCCCCGTCGGACAGTCAGAGGGGCAGGACGAGCTCGCCGACGAGATGTTCAGCGGAACTGCGAGCCACGAGGAAAAGGATGAGCGCAGCGTCGCTGAGACCGCCGAGTAGGAGGACACGCGCGATTCTGATAGCAACGACGGCCAGGACGCAGGCGATTCAGAGCTGAGTACATCCCACTATCACACCAGCGACCCAGAGTCCGCGGAGACGGCATCGAGTGACGAGGAGGTTTTCATGGAGAACGCGGACAATGAGGTTTTCATGACGAAAGGTGCTCGCAGGCACGTCCGGAGCAACCTGAAGGAGATGGAGGTTCTGATGGCCGAGGAAATGGCGAACAGGAAGCTTCGGGCTGATCGGCAGGAGCAGGACGCCCTCAAGCACTACCAGGAGGAACGTGCACTACCCATTCAGAGGGAGACCCGGCGGCGACCGGGGCCCTGGAGGATCGTGGAGATCTTCGCATGGGCTTGCCAACTCACGATCCTGGCGGCAAACGTGGGATGGGGCGCCCACCAGCCTATCACAGTGCCAGAGTTCGACCTCCTGACGGTCCAGGGCAGGAACGAGGCACGGGCGTACCTGGTTGCAGTTGACCCAGACTACGTGGCTTTGTCCCCGCCTCCTACGGCATGGAGTCGACTGCAGAGTGTCGACCAGCGAAGGCCTATGCGAGTGCGCCGGCAACGCCGAGAGCGGACCGAGTACCGCATGTTGCTCTCGTTCACGGACGAGGTGACGCAATGGCAAGCTGCAAGGGGACGCGCAGCCATGGTAATGGACCACGCGCGATCGACAATCTGGAGCCAGCCACCTGTGAATGCAACGAAGCCGAACCCAGCATTCGAGGACGCGATCTGCCTCCAGGACACCACGAGGGCGTCGGCGAACCCTGGGGTTTGCACGGCTGCGCGCGGGAGCTGCGCAGAGGAGTTCGCCAAGGCTGTGATGACCGGTGCCGCGGACCATTTGGTTCGGCAGTTCGAGAACTCGAGTTTCCCTGCGGCGCAACTCCCGGACCCCACGGAGGAGCCCAGGAGTTAAGGACCCGAGCCCGCGGAGCATGGTCCTGGAGAGGCTCCCGGAAACGTTTCGGAGAGACCTGAGTGGGGCAAAACACCGCAGGAGATTCGAGCCGAGATTCGTGAGGCATTGCAGAAGACGGTGAATGAGGAGTCCATGCAGCACCCTGCGGAGGAGGAGGAGGTTGCAGCCTCCCGGTCAGAGATGGAGCTTCCGGAGGTGGTGCGGCAGGACATCATGACGAAGATTCCTCGGAGTACGCGACGTGCTGTGCGGAGGGCCCATCGCGGTCTTGGACACCCCGGCCGACCGACGTTCATCAAGATGCTGCGTCTCGGCGGTGCAACGCCCAACGCGTTGGCATACGCGAAGCATTGGCAGTGTCCGACTTGTGCTGAGTCGGAGGCGCCGCCCCGTCCAGTGCAAGGGGCGGCGGACGTGCGACCATTCGGCTTCAATGTGACGGTTGTGATCGACGTGAAGTACCTACGGGACGCGGCCAAGGAGCAGCTGGTGGTCCTCAGCATGGTGGACGCTGGTACGGGATGGCACTGCGCATGCCTTCTCAATAATAGGACGGCCAAGCACGTAGCGCGCCAGATCATGAACGAGTGGTTCAAGCATTACGGCGTGCCAGAGAACATCGTGATCGACCAGGGCGGCGAGTTCGAGGGCTACTTCAACGCGCTGATGGAGCAGTTCGGTATTAATACGAAGACGACGGGAGCTCATGCAGCATGGCAGCATGGCCTGGCAGTGCGCCACGGAGGATTGCTCGGCACTATCTGGGGCAAGGTGGTGCATCAGTTCCACGTCCAGGGCAAGTCGATGTCTACTGTGGCCCTGGCTGCCATCATCAATGCGAAGAATTCGACGATCAGCCGCAATGGGTTGACCCCGGAGCAGGCTGTCTTCGGGCGGATCTTGAATTTTACGGAGGTGACTAACAGGGACGACGATGAGGTTCTCATGTCGGTTCTCGGCGCTAAAGGCATAGCTTGGCGTTCGTCTCAATTCCGCGCCGCAGCCAAGATGATGTTGCTGGAGCGCGACGCGACGGACAAGGTACGGAGGGCGCTGCTGCGACAGGCGCCGACGGTCGTCGGCGATCTGTGCCCAGGATCGCGGGTGTATTTCTGGGCACCGAATCCGTTCAAGGGACGTCGTCGGCAAGATCCTGAAAGATGGCGGGGTCCTGCGACTGTGATCGCGAAGGAATCCAACAGCCGGTATTACGTGTCATGGCGTGGTCACGTGCTACTTGTTGCTCGTGAGCAGCTCCGGCACGCCTCCTCCCAGGAGGCCGCGGCTGCGGAGTCCATCCAGACGGACGTGCGGCCTGACACAGCAGCGAGATGATCGCGCCTACCACGACATCGTGGACGTCACGCCCAAGGTGAAGGTTCAGAAGGTGAAGAAGACATTCCTGAAGAAGGAGCGTGACCGACATAGTGAGCTCGAGGGGTCCAGGCAGCCTCGTGTGGATGTGAGGGCCCTGGACGCCATTGAGGCGCAGGCTAAGGAGGAGGAGCCACCTGAGCAGGAGCAGTTGCCGCAGCTTCCGCCTCCGAGGAGGGCGCGGTCTCGTTCCCCTCCAGGCCAGATGTCTTCTGGGACGTACCCGGAAGCTTCTCCGGGAGCATCGGGCTCTGGCGGCCCTTCGGTGCCGCGGATTCCCAGAGACGATTTCGAGCTCGAGCGGAAGCGGAAGTTCCTGGTAGATGACGTGCCGAGTTGCATTAAGAAAACGCGTCTGCAGGCTGCCCCTACGAGTGGCTTGCCGGCCCTCCGCGAGGTGGCCATGAACGCTGTTGTGCACTCGGGGCCCCAGGAGTGGTTCGACCAGAATGCCTTGGATGGTGTCTCCACGCTCGTTCAGAAGGTCGTACGAGGAGTACGTGTGCATCGAGAGCCACGGCGGAGACTCTATGATCACGACCGCCACCGGGAGTGCAATCGCCTGTCGGTGATGCTCTCCGCCGTGCCTACAAGGACGACGGCGCGAGCCGTACCAACGAGCGCACGGAGGACAGCTGGGTTGGTCTCACGCTCTTCTACCACGACAAGCCGGACGCTCAGGCACAGGGGGTGTACTATTTGGACACTCCGGAGGGTCTTGTACGGCAGCCGATGACTTACGGGGAGTGGATCAACGTGTCATCTCTGCATGACGCATGGCTGCAGGAGGCCCGGTACGAGCACGACGTGTTCGCACTCGTGATGAAGCAGAACGCGAAGGAGCTAGACCCACGTCACTTCGACCAGCACGAGAAGGCTAAGTTCGACGAGGCCGATGCCGCCGAGTGGCGGCAATGGATCGCCAACAACACGGTAGAGCTGGTCACCGAGGAGGAGGAGAAGAGCATTCCAAAGGACAAGATCATCTCGGTGCCCATGCGTTCGGTTCGCACCAACCGGGGGCGAGGGCTGGAGTTGGAGGCGAAGTCGCGCCTGATCATCCCTGGCCATCTCGACCCGCAGCTTGGTCTATTCAGGACGGATTCGCCTACTACTTCCCCTTTGGCCGTGCTGGTGTGTGCGTCTATCACAATGGCGATGGATTGGACATCCGAGTGCTTCGACGTAGCGACTGCGTTCCTGTCCGGGCTGAAGCTGGAGCGGGAGGTGTATGCGAGGGCTCCTAAGGACGGGCTTCCAGCCGTCGACGGTGCTGGATGGCCAGCTGTGCGGCCTTATGCGTTGCTTCGTCTGCTGAAAGGGGCGCACGGTTTGACGGAGGCGCCTCGGTTGTGGTATCTCCGAGCCCGCCAGGTGCTGACGGACGAGGCCGGCTTTGTGGAGCTGTGCTGTGCTCGAGCTGTCTTCGTTTATCGGGCGAGCGGTAAGTTGATTGCTATGTTGACCTTGCACGTCGACGACGGCATGCTGCTTGGGGACCCGCGCGACCCCCAGTACCAGGAGGTGAAGGCGAATATCAACAGGCGTTTCAACATCAAGCACTGGAAGGAGGGCAACGACAAGGAAGCAGTCGCCTATCTCGGTGAGGAGTGGTGGCGCCACCCCGATCACATCGAGATTAGCATGCACGAATACATCGGCAAGCTGACAAAGCACCCCCTTGCAAGGGGTGACGACGAGGAGCGGGAGATGACTCCCGAAGAGCACCACGACTTCCGGAGCTTGCTCCAGAAGGTGCGATGGCCTGTCGCACGCGCGGTGCCACAGCTCGCGTACAGCGCGTCGGCGCTCGCACAGAAGGATCCGAAAGGTCGGAGGTTACTGCACCTGCGAGTGCTCAATGACATCATCGACCGGCTTCAGGACTACGACAAGGGAGGTCTTGCGACTCTCCGGATCCGCCGTGTGGACATCGAGCGCTTGCAGGTGCTCACGCTTATGGACGCTTCGTTTGCGAAGGAACCCGGCTGTAAGAGCCAGATGGGGTTCATGAGTATGATTGCGGATACCCGAGTGTTGAAGGAGCTAGCTGTATGTTGTCTAGTTGAGTTCCAGAGCAGTACTATTACACGAGTTGTTGGATCTACGATGGCCGCAGAGTCTGCGGCTATGTCCGTGGCTTTGGATCGGCAGCTTTACCTCGGGCTGCTGATTGAGGCAGTCTTGCACGGGGAGCCGCCCTTGCAAGGGGGCTGGAGGCTGGCGCTGAAGGTTCCGGGGGCGCTGGTGACGGACGCGAAGTCGCTCTACGACCACGCGTCCAAGATCGGCTCGATGTCGGTGTCTAGGCAGACCCTCATCGACTTGTTGGTGGCCAAGGATTTGATCGAGCAGGAGGCCATCAAGTTCAAGTGGCTGCCCAATAGCCACATGCTGGCGGACGTGCTGACAAAGGCCGTGCAGCCTAACGAGGTGCTACCACAGTTCCTCCGCCACGGACTGTTCAGCATGGTGCCTACTGCTGAACAAGAGGATGAGGAGGCACACCGTCTGCGGCTGCGCCGCGGACAGCGTGAGAGAGCCAAGGAGCGGAAGGCCCAGCGTCGGGCCGCCGTTCCAGGGCCTGCGAGCCCGTGAGGTCCTGATTGCAGCCGCTGATGGACCTAGTGAGGGCTACGGTGATGTATGCACATACATTGAGTTGACAGTCTGGACTAGTGAGTCTAGACATTCATATTTTATATTTTATAGTTTGAGCCTCAGGCCGCACTTTGCTTGAGATGTATCGGCCTGTGGGCCGGTATAAGCGATAGCTGCGTGCAGCGTTTCCCGTTCGTAGGGAGCGGCATCGGGGCAGCATTGTACTCACCCAGTGTGAAGAGTGCACTCCCCTGCCCCTCTGCCGCCCGTGCCACCGTGTGCGCATGATGTACATGCTTTTCATGTTTGTGGCATGCACGCTGCTCGCCGCTGTTTTGGCCCTAGTCCTAGGGCCCTGGGACTGCACCCGCAGTTTGACCGCCGCGCGGTCCGAGCGAAAACAACTGTCAGTGCCACACCTTGCCTGGATCGCTATCCCCCTCAAGCCACTTGGGGCATTCGCAGCCCACTCCTGAGCCAGGTTGGGCCAGATATAACCCACCTTGGCATCCACTGATCACCCACCTGTCCCCTTAGCACCCCCCGCGCCCATCCCAGTAGGATCAGCCGCGGTGGCCAGTCCCAGACGATCAACCCGGCGGAGCTGGCGAGGCGGTGCGAGAGCGGGGAGTGGAGGAGACCGGCCCCGGCTCGGCCGACAGGGGGCGCCGGATTCGGTTCCCTCCTGTCTGTCTCCCCGCCAGTGTCCCTTCGTGGAAGCGGGGGCCTCGCGGCGCATCCCCGCTCATGCCTGCATGGATGCACAAGAGTCCAGCCGCCTGTGGCATTCTGGCTGCGCATAAGGAGTGTTTTCCCTTTCTACCCTCTGGGCCATAATGCGCGTTACGCCCCCTACCCTCCCCCCTCCCTCCCCTCCATCACGTAACGTTCCCCCCCTGAGTGCTTTCCCAGCACGGCCGCAGTGCGTCTGGTACCAGTCTGGGGGGGTGGCCGCTACGTTATTCCCCCCCCCCGTCCCCCCCCCACCTCTCCTCCCCCGTAACACCCGTTGTGGCCGCGAATATAGCAATGCGCTCATAGCGTCCAGCCACCGTGCCAGCCCAGCACTCTGGGTGTCGCAAGTTCGGGGAACGAGCAGGAGGACGTGCCGTGTGACACCTCGTGCCCCGAGGCTTGGGGGGGCCGTGACGTGTGATACACTTTCTTCCGCGTCGTGTCGGGGGTTCTCTTCTCACTTTCGTAGAATTTCTTTTTTCTT